ACTTTCTAGTTCTTTATTTTTGAAATTAAGACCAAGGATTCTGTCTAACGAAGCTGCAAGCTAAAACACCGTTATCCTATAATGTTCATCTGTAGCTTGACCCTAAATACTCGTTTATTAAACGAATTTATTGTTAGAGTTCATTAGGAATCAACTTGTTGAAGGCAGAGTTTTCAACAAATACCTTCCTGTGATTGGCTGTTGCCGGGAATGCCAACGCTTATATGAATAAAATACAAAATAAGAAATACGTCCGTTTGCTCAATAACCTTGTTGTTGTTGTACAAAAGAACAACAATTTCTGTTTTATACAAGACAGAAATTTCCATCTAACTGAATAATGTAGACCAATAAGAGGGCGGAGGCATTGTATCGCCGATATTATTTGTGTGAGGCAACACCCTCTGGTGACGTCACAAGTCAGGTAGCCAGCCCATGTTTCTGTAACACTCGTTACATCCTGCAGTATTTAATTATCACTATATTAATGCTTTTAAATACTTAACATTTCACTTTTTAGGTAGATTAAAGTTGAAACAGACTGTCATAAGCAAGGATGGTGTGCTGAATAAAGATGATTTATTAAGTGGACGGAGCCTTTAGCTGATCCCTTCCTGTGATTGGCTGTTGTGTGATTGTCAACAAAGAATATCTACCAATGATATGCCATTTATTATGCACCCCATACCATCTGTGGGCGGAGCTTGGAACTTCCTACCCGAGCACAACAACCCGCCTTATGGGTTGCTGTTTGGCTATTTATAGTGCGTTGGAAAAAACAGAGATGGCGTTAGTTGTATTTTGTGGGGTAATTTGTTATAAGTGTAATTTGATGTCAACAGATGGCGTAAGCTGTATCTTATGGCCATTATTGACCAGCAGGTTGATAGTGTTCTCTTCTGCCGACAGATGGCATCAGCTGTTATTATTACTTCCAAATTCCCTTTAAACACTGATCTACAAATCCCTTGGCTTATAATAAGGTTTTATACCATTTATGATAAGTATTAGATAACTGGAATTCTGCAATTACTTTTATTTATCAACTGTTCAGGATATCATCATATAATGTCTGGTTAGGACATTATATGTTATATATTACATACATTATATATATTACATTATTGCTCTCGATTGATGAAGATTAAGTCACCCAAGAGGTGGCACGGCCATGAATAACCCGTAAATACTCCTCTCGTAATATTATTCAGGGGGGTGGGGGAACTATCAGGTGAAAGCGCCAAGCCATTACGACTATATAGCACTGGGAAGGGGTCAGGATACGGATTTGGGATGGAACGGTGGAAAGGAATGGTGCCCAACCTCTTGGGCGGTCGGGGATTGAACGCGGACCTGTAGGAAACGAAACCGTCGCTCTACCGTCCAGCCCAAGTGGTTAAGCATAATATTATTAAAACAACAATTTATGCATATAATAACAGCATTTTACACTAAAAATACTTGGATATATTGAAATTTGGTAGTGAATTCCAATCTAGGAATCTCCTATGACTAAACTGTACTTTTTAATCATTTTTATGTACTTACTACTTATTATTAAATTATTAAGTACTTACTATAGCTTGGGGTTCTACTACCCAAAATCATTTACGTCCTCTAATTACCCAACACAAAGCTGCTATTAGGACAATATGCAACTCTGGCCCCAGACATCACTCGGTACCCTTACTCAAATCTCTGAATATGTTAGATATTAAGTCACTGCACATTCTCTCTTGTGTATTATACATATATAAAACGCTGAACTGTAATGCCAATCCTGACCTCAAAAGCTTCATTGAAGGTTGTAACAGAACCCATGAGCACCACACCAGAAATAAATACAGTTTTGATATTCCAAGAGTGCGACTTAATCAAACTAGAAATGCTCTACAAATCAAGGGACCCAGAATGTGGAATGACCTTCCCAACCATGTTAAAGACTGTACCTCTCTCAACCAGTTTAAGATAAAAACTAAACACTACCTAATAAATTCCCTGTAACCTACCTCACTCCTCTATTGTCAACCCATGTCTGTTATTTTTTTTTTATTTTTTTTTTTTTTTAATCAACACTGTTTGTCAACCTATTGTATTTGTGCTGCTTTTTCAGTCATGTTCCCCCTTTTTTTTATCTTTATTTGTATTTGTTCTCAACACTTTTTATTCTTTATGCTCAATTAGTATTAAGTTCTAGATATTAATGTTTTTCTTGCCCGAAACGCATTGCGTAATAGTGGCTTTAGGCATTGTATGTACTAGCTCTATCTATATATCAATCCATCAATGTAACATCACTTGTATGTATATACCTTACCTGAATAAACATATTTATTTTTATTTTATTTATTTATAATAATTAAATAAATTATTTTATTTAATATTTAAATTAAATGATAAAATAATAGGTAATAATAAATCATCGTGTAGGGGGACAGGCAGCCAGTGTATATATACATGTTAGGCTTATACCAAGGTGCCACAAAGGTGCCACAAAGGTGCCAAATTAAAGACTGGGAGCTACCGGGGCGGGCCCAAGGGCTGCTGGCGGCCCTGATGGCCAGGCTGAACTTCCGCGCCCTTATAATCACCATTGTTTAATAATCTTCACAGGGAGAAACAACTGTAAATATAGGAATAGTTTATTACAACATACACTGTAAAGAAAACAGCTCGGAAACTAAGGAAATAAAACTGCCGAAAAAACATTAAAGTCTACTTCAAGTTCAAGTATGTTTATTGAGACAATAAAAAAATACGTCACAAAGGGATAGAGTAGCTTAGGCTATTTCTACCCCCCCCCCCTCTACTTCAAGTCCCTCAAGGGGCGCACAAATTCAGTGAGTACAAGTACACAAATCACAATACAAGAATCCCATTTAACATTGCAGGTTAAAATAGGAAGCACAGCATATAAGTGTCAAGTGTAGGACCTCACTCAGTTACACAACTGGTCGCGGTCCAGTTACACAACTGGTCGCGGTCCAGTTACACAACTGGTCGTGGTCCAGTTACACAACTGGTCGGGGTCCAGTTACACAACTGGTCGTGGTCCAGTTACACAACTGGTCGGGGTCCAGTTACACAACTGGTCGTGGTCCAGTTACACAACTGGTCGCGGTCTAGTTACACAACTGGTCGGAGTCCAGTTACACAACTGGTCGTGGTCTAGTTACACAACTGGTCGGGGTCCAGTTACACAACTGGTCGGAGTCCAGTTACACAACTGGTCGCGGTCCAGTTACACAACTGAAATTGAAATTGAAATTGAAATAAAGGTTTATTGAGGTAAAATACACACAAAGGGATGAGGTAGGTCAAGCTATTCTCACCTCGTTCAGTACAACGTGTTAGTACATACATAGACACACATCACAAACAATAAACATGTTACCAAACATTCTGAGAGATAAACATATACATTTCCTCCTTTACACAAGTAGTATGGTATCAGACGTACACACAAATACTTTTATGACCTAGGTATACTGTATAGACAATTTGCAAGAGACATGCAGATAATTCAACAAAATATTACAGTCTTGGTGCAAAATTCTTATATCTCTCAAGAATATCATCAACCTTTCCGTTTGACACATCCAGGCTATTTGTTCAGGAACAGTCCTTATCTCAGTGTTTCTATATACATTAATCAACGGACAATCAAGAACATAATGGGCAAGGGTGTGAGACCTTAACATACCACATAGTTTACACCTCGTGTCATTATCATGAACATCTATCCCATATTCCCAGTAATATTTGTATCCAAGCCTGAGCCGCATGTACACAGAGTCACTCCAAGCATTTCTCCTTTTACCATAAGTGAAATGGGTGTTTTGACTCACATGTAGTGAGTGTTGCATGGTTTGACTTCTCTCATACATTATATCTCTCCTCTCCACTCCTGCCTGTGCCTAAATATTTCTGATTTTGCTTCTTATTTGTCTCATTGTGAATTCACATTCAATGTCAACTTGTGGTTTTGATGTGGCACGTTTGGCCAAGTCATCCGCCACCTCGTTGAGCACTATTCCAACATGAGATGGAATCCACATGAATTTCACACTATGACCTTTCAGCTGTATCTCAGTTATTCTTCTCTTAGTCCAGTCCAGTTACACAACTGGTCGGGGTACTTTTAGACCGTCAGCTCACTACTTTCAGACCATCAGCTCGCTACTTTCAGACTCAGCTCGCTACTTTCAGACCGTCAACTCGCTACTTTTAGACTGTCAGCTCGCTACTTTCAGACCGTCAGCTCACTACTTTTAGACTGTCAGCCCGCTACTTTTAGACCCTGAGCTCGCTACTTTTAGACCGTCAGCTCGCTACTTTCAGACCGTTAGCTCGCTACTTTCAGACCGTCAGCTCGCTACTTTCAGACCGTCAGTTCGCTACTTTTAGACTGTCAGCCCGCTACTTTTAGACTGTCAGCTCGCTACTTTTAGACTGTCAGCTCGCTACTTTTAGACCGTCAGCTCGCTTCTTTCAGACCGTCAGCTCGCTTCTTTCAGACCGTCAGCTCGCTACTTTTAGACCGTCAGCTCGCTACTTTTAGACCGTCAGCTCGCTACTTTTAGACCATCAGCTCGCTACTTTTAGAGCGTCAGCTCGCTACTTTTAGACTGTCAGCTCGCTACTTTTAGACCGTCAGCTCGCTTCTTTTAGACCGTCAGCTCGCTACTTTTAGACTATCAGCTCGCTACTTTTAGAACGTCAGCTCGCTACTTTTAGACCGTCAGCTCGCTTCTTTTAGACCGTCAGCTCGCTACTTTTAGACCATCAGCTCGCTACTTTTAGAGCGTCAGCTCACTACTTTTAGACCGTCAGCTCGCTACTTTTAGACCATCAGCTCGCTACTTTTAGAGCGTCAGCTCGCTACTTTCCGAGAGTCAGCTCGCTACTTTTAGCCCTTCAGTTCGCTACTTCAGACCATCAGCTCGCTACTTTTAGCAATTTAGATCTGGCAACCATGAACAGCTGTGTATGGCAGTCACGCCACGACCGCCGCCGGAGGAGGGTGTGTGCCGCTCCACATGGACGTAAATACTGACACAATGCAGGAAAGTGGCCAAGCCAGGTGTTTATGGGAGCCAGATGTGAGACGGAAAACGAAAATGGACGCATTCCGTGAGGCTGCGAACAAAAAATACAGCCTGCGGCTTGGTAAGTAAGAGAAGTAGAGATATACGTATATGTTTATTAAGGGTTATAGCTGCAGGATATGTCCACGCTGGCTTGTCTTACGTCACTATGTTACTTTCTCTGGGATGAAATACTGACTGTCAGCACTCATGTAGGATGCTGACAGCTTCCATGAAGGGTGGGTGATGACAGCATCCATGTAGGGTGGGTGATATACTTAAAAAAAATACAAGAGGAGTAATTTTCTCTGATTCAGTTAATGGCAGCTATACAAGTACAGTATATGTAAACCCAACATGCAAAATATAGATACAATACTGTACTAGGAACTTCTAATACTGTATAATTGATACACAGAACAAGAGTTTCAGAATCGCCTTTGTATGGGTGTCATCTTACATAGGTATTATCCAACATTATGATATAGGCAAGGTGACTAAAGGCGGCATGTAACAAGCCTGAAGCTGAACTAGACCTACCTACACTCTAATCCGCTGTCAAAAGCACACTACTTAAAGTAAAGCTCACAATACGAGCAATATCCGACACCCAAAGAGCAGAAAATATTAGTACAGGTATATTTATGGTATGTTAAGACTGGAGAAGTGTTGTATACACAGCCTAAATCATCCACCAAATAGCATGATACTGTTAGAATTAGGCTGGAATGTCATTACTTATGGTAGGTAACTTTATTTATTTATATACTGTATATACAAGAAAGTACATTGGGATTGTGAGGATACATAGTATAGTAATTACAATCTTGTAAAGCCACTAGTACGCGCAGCGTTTCGGGCAGAAACTGAAGGTAATGATCTTCCCGTGCAGAGAGCACTCCAATTATAAACTCTGAACAAGAGCTAAGACATACTTCAACACTATTAGTGAATGCCCAGTTATTGATTTTATAATAAATGGCATGATATACATTGAACTTTGCAACTGTTTTTATTTGATTTCTAACCCCTGGGTATTGAATATGCTTATACAGTACTCTACACAAAGTTTGCTAGTGTAAGCTACTAAATTAGGCTTATATCCCATGTTTTTATTTGATTTCATGTATAATAAATCATTCTATGAGATGGGGGGGGGATATTAGATGAATGTATATCTAGTTCTTGACTTACTTTGTGTAATTTCTCATAAAATAGAGTAGCAGCACACTACTGTGTACCTAATTTGTTAATAAAACCTAATATAAATTGACCTTGACCAATTTTTTTTATCAGTCTTTTACTGCTTAAAGTATTTCTCAACTAAAAAAAATGTGCAAAATGTAAGTTAATTTATTTTTGCGGGAATATTCCTGCGTGGGCCCTAAGCCTCTGGTTGGCCCACTAAGTGTTTCTTGTTTCTGTTTTACTTGGGCGGAGTATGAGTATTTGACTCGTATGGTCGCTTCAGTAAGATTTTGCCATATGTGTTTAACAACAACTTCTGCTCTGTTGAATTTAAGTTGAACTCTTATTGGGTTTGTAACTGTGCACTGTGTTAATGTTCCAGTGGTCTGTTGTGTGTGTAACTGTGCACTGTGTTAGATAATGTTCTGGTGGTCTGTCAGGCATTTCTCTACAGTACTGACATTTCCTCTAATCTTCTGCAGCCTGTAAGCCTATTTCCCATGCACATATATGTAAGTGTTAAACGTGATCTTGGATAATATGTAGTGTACAATGACCATCTCTTTATAATGTTATATAAATTGTATGATATAACTTTTATACAGGTAAAGGAATAGTTACATTAGCCAAATACCTGTATGTAAGATAAATAATTTTTGTCTTCAGGAAATTACCAAGACCTCTACAAGTGGTCTGTGGACCAGTATTCAGATTTCTGGGAGACATGGTGGGAGTTTGGAGGATTTCTGTACTCATCACCTCCTACCCAAGTCGTTGATACTTCTCTCAACATAACGCAAATACCACGCTGGTTTTCTGGTGCCAAGCTGAACTTTGCTGAAAATCTTCTTCGGTTTCGTGATGATCGTGTTGCTATATATGCTACAGGTAACAAATAAAAAGAAATAATGTATTGTCCAATTCACTCTGTTGCTTCTTAAGATAAATATCCATTCTTTCAGCTACTGGATTAACATAGTCAGACAGGACTACACTTTGCACCAGTACCACAGGGATCTTTTTCAAACATATCTGAAGATCATTACCATTCACGCTCCGTTGATATTAACGTGTCATGCCTGTTTCCCCTGAATGCTCCAATGACACATTGTGTCATCCGCCAGTTTTAGAAGAGGCCTGATGCTGATGCAATTTATAAGGTTTGGCAATACACGTACCAGCACATAAGCCTTCCCATAAAGTACTGCATTTCTCCTAATGCTTTTCATTTTTATTCAAGCCAATATAATAATTTACATTAGGACCATTGTTAGTAAAGCAGAAACATAGCAGAAACATCTACCCATGTTCCTTTTCCATAAGACCACAATAATACAAAAACACAATAACAAAAATACAGAATACAGTGGTTAATTTATTGTTTAGAGTATGTACACTTAATAAAGTCACTAGTATGCAAAACATTTTGGGCATAGCTCAAAATAATTTCATTAATTAAATTATAGATTTGATGAGAAACACTTAATACTAAAAGAGAAGTAAGTTAACATACTATATATGGATTGTTAAAGAAATTTAGTAAGTGATACTGTATATGGATTTTAAGTGATAATGAAGTATCTAAAGTGCTTCCTTCTCTTAAGTTCACAAAATGGTAAGTCTATCAGTGTCTCACTATCTCCTCCTTGGTTCTTACCACTAAAATACTCTGACCTTCTCAGTCCAGACTGGCTGCATGTAACCTTGGCTGGGCTTCACACCAGGTGGTCCTGGACCGACTCGGAGTGTTGAAGTGCCTGAATGGTACTATAAAAAGGACAACTACATTATTAACCCTCTAGTTAACACTTGCATTTTATAGATGAAATGTCTTAACTGAGGGAATGAATACATTAGAATTCTACTTATCCTACACCTTTGAATTTTAATACAGTACTATACAGTATTAGTGTAAACATCAAACAAACTTAAAACAAGATTCCACACTTAACAAAATACTGTGTTATTATACTCGTCAACTGCTAACAATCCACCGGCTGACAAAACCCTTTTCCCGAACCCATTGTTGATGTGACGACTTATATTGAATTTTGTAACTAGCTCATCAAGATTGTAACTTGCTTAGCTAAATGAATTGTGGGGTTCAGTCCCTGAGCCCATTATGTGCCTCTGTAACCCTTTCCACTACTGCCCACAAGATGCGTATGGGGTGCATAATAAATGAACTAAACTAACTAACCTTCCTCCACTCACTGCACTGGCAGTTGAGGCGAGTGAGTGGTGGTGGTTCTGAGGACGAGGGAAGTGCGACTGACTACTAGTAGTCATAATATTTTTTGTTTAAATTACATTGTAGACTCTTAGGGCTGTTGCTTACATATAAGGGTAGTGAATGTGGAAAGAATGTGCTCTTACATAAGAGCTTTGTGCTATATTTATGACAAGCTTGCATTTTTATTTTTTACTCCTGTTGGGGCTGATTGTGAGGGTTAATTAAGGTATCTTAAATTGACATCAATAATCACATCAAATACCTTCTACCCAACTCTGCTGTGGACTTGATAGTCAAGGAAGACTCAACATAATGCAGTATGCATGTTACTATGCCATAGTCCACTAGTATCATGGCTTCCCTCCATCCTTATGATATATTTAGCTCAGGTTAACCTATTCATGTAAATTATTAATTAAGTTATTTGCCAAAAAGATGAATGCAAGTGTGTGTGTGTTTATTACATGAATGTGATTGAATCTCTCTAGTTCAATTTTACAGGAGAAGGACAGCAAGGCATAACCACAGTCACATATGAGCAGCTGTATAAGCGTGTTGGTTTGTATTCAAGAGCACTTAAGGGCCATGGTGTAAAGAATGGGGATCGTGTGGTGGGTTATGTGCCCAATTGCCCTGCTTCCATTGAGGCCATGCTGGGTACAGCATCTTTAGGTGCGGTGTGGAGCTCAACATCCCCAGACTTTGGTGTTATGGTAATTATTAATGTATTTTACTCCTATTTATTTAACATTTGTTATTTTAAGCACGATTCCATGCACAATTAGAGATTTGCTGTCGAGTAATATTTTTGTTAATGTTTAAGCATTACATGTATTCTTTACAAATAGTTTTAAATTGCTGCTGTTAACAATTGGATATTAAGATGCTGAATTTTCTTTTATGTTTGTATTCAGGGTGTTTTGGAACGGTTCACACAAATAGAACCAAGCATATTGTTTTCTGTTGAAGCTGTGGTTTATAACGGTAAAGTTCATGACCATCTCAACAAGGTCAAGAAAGTGACGGCTAGTTTGAAGCATCTGAAAAAGGTTGTCATAATTCCATTTGTTCACAAGAGGAATGAGATTGATATATCTGATATTACCAATGGGTAAGTGTAGACATGTTTTCTGTAAATTTTAGTAGAAAAGTAATAGTCACCTACCTGGCAGATGTTCAATACAATGCTGCACTTGTGTCTTGATGAGATTAGGTTGCAAGCAATAGATGTTATATGTCAGTAGTTCAGTATAAAGGTTTGAAAGTGATGAAGTATTGTATTTCATGCAATATAATATTTTAATGGTGCACTTCTTTTGTTTCGGTGTTAATGTTGAAGTGGAGTAACATTTATAATTCACATTCCATTTTCATTAAATGTTCAAAGCAAGGAATCTTGTATCCGCAGCATATTCCTAGAAGATTTCTTAGCTGATTGGGAGAGTGATGAAGAAACAGAATTTGAGCAGGTTCCCTTCCATCACCCTCAGTTTATTATGTTTTCTTCTGGGACGACGGGTATCCCCAAGTGCATGGTTCACTCTGTTGGGGTGAGTTGATCTTAAGACGCTAGTCAACTTCTAGGAACAGTTTTTCTAAATTTTCAGTATATTGAGATAGGTAATTAAGTTTTGTACTTTTATATATTAAATAGTTTAAAATATACTGTACTTCCTGAGTACTGTATATTATAAACTATATACTGTGTCTTGGTATTTCCAGTCTTTGTGATGAGTGCCTTTTCCATAGCTAGGTAGGGTTAAATGGTCACTCGGTGTCTATCTGTAGTGTGTTGAATGCTAGTCAATGTGACATACAAGGTCATGAACTTAAGAGGACCCTTCTTACTTGGGAGATTTTATGCTGCATTCAAAACTTGACCTGTAGTGAAAATTGCAAGTTTTTAATATAAGTACATTACTTAATTCAGTTCTCTGAATTATAATTCATTGTGCATATGAACAATACAGTTAAGGCTAACTTTCTTAGCTAAATGAACTTTGGGGTTAAATTCCGAGCGAATTATGTGCCTCTGTAACCTTTTCCAATACCACCCACAGGATAGTTATGGGATTGCATAATAAGTGAACTAAATTAAACCTATTATATTATAAGATTTTTATTATTGCTCATGAGTGTGTTTAGCTGTAAACTAACTTATCTATTAAAAGATACCACCTTTAATAACTGTGATATTTTGTTTTTTTTCAGGGAACTCTTATTCAGATTGCAAAAGAGCATGTGTTGCATTGCAACCTCTCCCGGGATGATGTCTTCACTTACTACACCACGGCAAGTTTATACTTTGACAATTTCACATTACAATCACTCCACACTTTCCCTGCCTTTTACAAGGCAGGGGAAAACATTTGGGAACGTTTTCTTACACCCGTTGCCTTTGTTTACATAGCATTAAATAGGTACCAGGCGACTGTAGGGGGTCAAATTGTGGGAATGGTCAGTCATTGACTAGGGAATAATCATTAAGCCTACCAGCTTCTTGTTCCCTATAAAGGGTTACTGTACCCAATTACCTACTGCATTACAGTATTATTTGACTGACAAAATAATTAATTTTTAAAATTAATGATTGTCTGCTAGTATAGTATTGTACTGTACTTTCATTCATGTACAAATTTCACTTTTATTTTTGTATTCTTAGCTAGACCTCTATCATGATTCATCTAGATATAAGAGTGAACAGTCGTGGGGATGTGACGCAACCCTAGCATACTTTTTAACATTAATAATCTGTTCCTGCACCTGCCACAGGCTTAAGTCACAACCTAACAGAATTCATGCATGTTATCCATAGATGCTACATTCTTACACACACACAAAAAAGAGTAACACCAGTACTGAAAGATGATACAGCTGACACAAACAATTACAGATCAATATCAAATCTTCCAGTACTATCAAAGATATTTTAAGATTATTTAGAGATAGCTGTACTCCTATTAAAGTACTGTACTCAAATCAATCAAATCAAATGTTTATTCAGGGAAAGTACATACTTACAAGGTGAGATACAGACATTGATGGATTTATAGATAGAGCTAGTACATACAAAGCCTAAAGCCACTATTACGCAAAGCGTTTCAGGCAGTCCGGGTACGAGTTTCGGGTACTTCTCTATAATCTTATTAAAGCTATGCTATTTGCTGATAACACTACCTTTATCTTCTCTAGCCCTAACCCACAAACCCTAAATACAGTAATATAGCAAACAATAAGTACAAATAAAAATCTACTCATGGATGTTGACCAACATGCTCATATTGAAGATAGAAAAGAACTACTGTATTAAATTTTAAGTAGAAAGAAATCATCTAACCAAATAGACTTTTAAAAAAACAATATAAGACATTAGAAGTAAGCGAGGCTTGTACAGTACATAGAAGAGATTTCAGCACTTGCATACATAACCAAATACTGTAACCAAAAAAAAATTCTAAAACAATTGGATACTGACAAGCTATTTTACCTTGTACTGTGTGTGTATGTATACATACACACTATAAATTTATAAACTTGTTTATACATATGCAATATTATCATTTGTATTAAATATGTAATGCTATAATGTTTTATAGACTGGTTGGATGATGTGGAACTGGCTAGTGGTGGGCTTGTTCTCTGGGTGTTCTCTGTTCTTGTATGATGGATCTCCCCTTTTGCCCACTCCCAGTGTGCTCTGGGATCTGGTTGATAAATTAGGTAAGTTTTTACAAATTATAAATTCTTTCAGCAATGTTGTAAACTTGTTTAACTTTCAGCTGAATTCTTGTCAGATAATTAATTTTGATTTGAAGCTTCAAACACACTATAACTTATCCTTGTAAGATCTGAGATTGGAGATCTTGGGTTTCTCAGAGTTGGAAGAAAAACATTTAATAATTACTGGAGAGTTTATCACAATTTTTAATACTGAATATCTTTCAGGAGTCACAGTACTTGGAACAGGTGCTAAATGGTTGGCTGTTTTAGAAGAAAAGGGAGTAAAACCCCGGGAATCACATAATTTGTCATCGCTGCGAGCCATACTCTCCACTGGTTCTCCACTATCCCCACATTCCTTCCACTATGTTTACAATAACATTAAACAAGATGTTATGTTGGGATCTATTACTGGTAAGTGTGTCATATAAGATCATGAGAGTGGAAGTTCGGTAGGTGGTGAAGGGGATAAAATGTTGTTATTGGTGTGTTTTTCTGCTGATGTTACTGTGCTATTGGCTAAAAGAGAGAGTACCTGAAAAGAACTGTGAGTTTAACAGTGTGTGTCTTTGTGCAAGAGAAGAAAGTTGAATTTCAATGCAGGAAAAACTGTCATGATGGCTTGAGAAAATAATCTGAAGTGAAATTTGTAGATCCCTATCAAGTGGCAATAAAATAAAATACTATAAATGTTATTATACTTGGGGAATGTGTTACGTAAAACTATGTTTATAGCTCACTTATATCATAGCACTTTGTATTTCTGTGTGTTGTACTGTATTGTTTTATGCAATTTATCTCTCCAGGTGGCACAGACATTATATCTTGCTTCATGGGCAGCAACCCCAGTCTTCCCGTGTATGAAGGAGAGATTCAGGGACGAAACTTGGGCATGGCTGTTGAAGCGTGGGGTGAGGGCTGTCAGCCTGTGTACGACACCCGAGGGGAGCTGGTCTGCACCAAACCATTCCCTTCCATGCCAACGCATTTCTGGAATGACGATGGTGGCATCAAATATACAAAAGCTTATTTTGCAAAGTAAATTGGGCATTTGTTCAGTGATTCTCATTTTGCATTGAATAATTGGCTTCATATTCAGTATTTACATTGATCTTTATTTTAACTTGTGTTGAAGTTACTGTGTGAAGAATGAACATTTATGAACATATACATTTTCAAAATTTTCAGTTGTTAGAATGTTATTTCTATGAAAGTATTTGAATTTGTATATTATTTGAATACTTTCATACTTTGAATCTTTCAATATTTATTTGTCTTTTTCTGTTGTTAGGTATTCCCACACCTGGACTCATGGAGATTATATCATGATAAACTCAAAAACTGGAGGAATAATCATGTTAGGACGAAGTGATGGCACTCTCAATCCAAATGGAGTCAGATTCGGCAGTGCAGAAATATACAATATTGGTAAGAATGCCTGGTAGAAAATTATAAACACAATTGAGATAGAATTCTACTTGATAACATAATAATTGAATAACAAAACAAAATGCAACTTTTCTAATAAATACTGTAGTTAGGCAAAATCAATTTTCCAAGCTTTACCCACTTAGTTGCTCCATTAGGCAGTGTCCAGTGCTTCCCAGAACAAAGGCAAAAATCCAGGTTGGCCAGTATGGTGGTGTGCTTTTAATGGTTTTGGTTGCAATATGATCAAATTTGGATTAAAAGTGAGATGGGAAAATTACAATTTTATGTATATTACATAAAGGTAAATAATACACAAATATCACAAAAAGGTTACAGGGAAACTGTGTAAATTTGTGCTTTGTGTTGAACCTTTGTATTAACAATTTTTGTATTAATATTTTTCCTGCCCAAATAATTAATATTAGAAAAATGGACAACTTGGATTCATTTAGTGTTAACGAGCCATTACCAGTAGAGTTAAATGGTTGATTTTGTGTACAACATTTTGTTGTCCACCTAAATTTATTCAATGTTTTAAGCCAGTGTGACTAATAAGTTAAATGCTTTACTTCTCAGTTGAGCAATTTGAAGAGGTGAGTGATAGTGTGTGTGTGGGCCAGAGGAATGCTGCTGGGGAAGAACGAGTTGTGTTGTTCCTGAAGCTTCACCTACACGCAGAACTCGGTCAAGAACTTACACGGCGTATTGTAGTGGCCATTCGCTCGGAGCTCTCTGCCAGACATGTTCCGGCTCTTATTCTTCCCATCATGGAAATTCCGGTAAGCAATTTTCTTCTTAGCAATAGTTGGTCATGATTCACCTCTTATTTAAAAGTAGATTATCAAAATAATATTTTGTAATCAACCCTGGACCATGGCTGAAGGATGTACAGTAACTTGAAAGTACAGTTCAGTATCGAACTTTACCTGATAGCTGCCATCTCTAATGGCCATAGTTGGGATAAGAAACTGGTGACTTGTGGAAAGTATTGCATTATTACTTTGTTTTTTCAAGCTGTATTTTGAAATGTAGTGCTGTCTTGCCATTTTTTGCTTCAGCAGATTATGCATTAGAAAATGTGAAAGAACAAATGTATATTGTAAGCAAGAGCCTGAAAGTGAACTGATATCTTGCCCTAAAGAATGGTGAAAAGGGAGGTTAGAGTTGGGAAGAAATTGTATTGTGAATCGACAGCTACTTTGGTACAGTATGTAAATGGGATACTTTGATATTGAGAATCAAATAGCATACAGTAATAAGTTTAAAAGGTATGAAATCCCTCCAGCAGGAGTGTTATTGAAGTAATCATAAAGGGATTCTAAAGAGGCATCAGGAAGAACTAGGATAGCAAGGAAGGACATCCTGCTGGAAAATTACAATAATTAGTGCCTTGCAGTAACATTTAGCATGAATTTGGAATATACAAGACTTGAGGGACACTTAGGACTGCAAATGTGGAACTTGTACCGTTAAAGTTTGAAGACCGTCAGTAAACTGACCATATTGTGACATTCACCAATTCCTTATTTGACCCCGGTGGCTGCTAGTGGTGATTGTGGTTGCAGGCGAGGGTGCATGATGGGCATTGCCATTTTCCTGCGGGCTGTTCATTAGGAGCAATGGAATGTTGTTGTTCATACATTAGCATCTAGGTAGGGAGTGTTGACTTCATAACAGAATGTTTGTTGATATGTGGTTGTGCTGGCTTTTCTGTTCCATATGGTATTGCCATGCTGATGGTACTGTATATCCTGCCTTGACAGCATATGGCTGTTACTCTGAAACACAGGGAAGAGATGTAGAGTTAATACTTGGCCACATAACTAACAAAAACAAAATTGTGGAAATTTAAGTGAGGAAGCAGTTAGGAAAATACTATGATGTCTAATAGCTATAATAGTGAGTGTAAATTGTGTATCATAGAAAAGATAAACATGTCCTGGAAGAAATGTAGGTGAGGTTTAAAAGTTAGTATATCTAGCTCAAACTTTAAAGTGTTCCCTCTGAGGATATCTATGATATCTAAATAATGTGAAGGCAAAGGACACCTAAGAGTGTGAATGTTGACTTGGATAAAGCAGACAAAGCACAGTCTAGGTGAAGAACTGCAGTATTCCTAAAAGTATATATAATAAGGATCCTGTAGCAATTTGCATATGAAATACACAGTATTTGAGGCTGTACAATGGGTGAAATAAAAGGGGGGAAAATTTACTCAAATGTTGACTGGGAATGTCCACTAGACAGTATCAGTGTATAGAATTGGATTGTAGCCAGACAAAATAAGCAATTGGAAATATTTAAATTGGGATGTCAAATATGTTTGTGTGTGAGGCAAAATAGGAAAATAATAAGTTGAGTATATCAAATCTAAATATGCAGCTTAGTAGGCTAATATAGATATGGGGGATTACTGGATTAATAATTAAATATGAATTAGTCATGTGATTTCTTTCAAGCCATTCATAATAGTTCTCAACTATGAATCAGGACAACACTAACAAAAATTGTAAATAAGGAAGTAGGAAGTAAATAAAAAAAGGAGGTCCTTCCAAAATGAAAGAGAAACATTTGGGAAAGACTGGACTGCCAGTGTAAGGCCATGGCAGTTTGATTAAGATGGTATACATATTCTGAATAATTTCAGACCAGGCTTTAGGGGATAAGAACTAGGCACTTGTACCCTCTTACCTTAAGGGAAAAACTCATTGGCTTTGCACATGAAAGGAGCTTTTCAGTTTGATTCTAAGCTTTATTTTGTAAGTAACAGATGACAACCTTATTTCTTTAGTACACAGTGAGTGGAAAGAAAGTGGAAGTGGCTGTGAGGCAGATGATCCAAGGAGAGACCGTCACAAACAGGGCTGCACTCTCCAATCCTGACTCTTTGGACCTTTATGCCAACATACCACAACTACAGGCTTGGTGAGAGCCTTCTGCATACACAAGAATGTGACTTCATTTTGGTGAACTAGCTTGAATTACGGTACTAAAGTTTGCCTTGGCTGCAGTATCGAGGGACTTCAGGTAAGCCCCTAAACTGACAGCGTTACTAACTTCCAGTGATCCTAAAGTTCTTAAGACCTTTGACTTGGTTCTTGTATTTTATATTGGTTGTGAGGTAGCTCTCGACTTTCATGATGTACTAACTCAAATAGTATTAACTATAGTAATCTCGTAAACTGCATATTATTAGCTTTACTCTATTTGTTATTAGCTGAATACTTGTGGTACATGATTCTTATAAGTACTGTAGTTAGAACTTGTGGCATGTGGTTGTCAATGTTTTTACACATTTGATCTGACTCAACAATTTTATATTGAATTTTGTGTGTATTTATGTAAATTTCTAGTGTCTTTGTATCTATTTAATTTTTAAATTCTTAAGTCATCAGAAATGCTACAGTAATGCTGCAGCTAATGTATTTGAAATTGTATTATTCAAATTGCTGTATCATTGAGTTACAATAAATAACTGTATCATAACTTTGAGGTACAGTATATTGTACTGTATTGAATCTTGAGCAGCAGTGTTTAAAATCATTCTAGAATATATTATATAATATAGATTTTGGTATCATTTAATTTTGATCAGTAGGCCTATGAGCCAAAATATAGCTGTATGTAGTACTGTATTGATAATGGAAAAAATTCAGTTTGTTTTTCCATTCAGAATTTCTAATGTTGGCCCCAATTCTATTACAACATTAGTCACAAGTTGTTTGTGATACAATATTTCTGCGCTATCCACTTGGTTGCTCCATAAAATATTAAATTAATTGATGGCTGTTATTGTATCTGATTCATTCAGGGCAGGTTGGCATGCCATGCCAGTGCAGCAGGAAACTTGCCAAAGTGTCCCTGTTGGATGATATTCATGCCAGGGAGACACTGGAGAATACTCATTCTAACACAAAATTTCAACAAAGTATATTTACATTAAACTTAAAAACTTTCCAGGTATAACTTAGGATCAAAGATACTGCCAAGGTAAGTATTGAATGACCCAATACTGTAGCTAACTACTGCTGACCGTCAGCAAGGATAGCATCAACACTACAACAAAGGGCCCCCAACCTAACCTCTTCACATATTATCCTGACAGCTCAGGCAGCAGGTTATATGGATAGGTTGAGATAAGGCCTTTCAGTTAAGTGGCATGTACAAGTATTATGCATCCAGTGTGTGTGTGTTGATAGGCCCCTTGTGTGTCTGGACTTTGACCGGTGTCCAAAGTTATTTTCTCGGCACCCAGCAGCTCATGCTTTTCAGTAGAGCTGATTTACCTCTTGAGTTTCCCAATGAATTTGTGGTTCCTTTTGGTAATTTGGTCCACAACTTGGACATTTGAGCTGTACACATGTTGTTAACTGTTGGTGCTTTCAATTCTGGGTCAGAAGTTCACCAGCAGTGGTGTTCTCCTCTTGAGATGACCATTATATGCATGACTGCTTGATTTTATACAGTGTATACTGTCACTATATTTTACCAATTACTGGGGGCTACAAAAAGTTGGGTGGTGCACTTAACAAAAGGAAATGTTTGTATAAACCTTCTAACTCCAGTAATATAGACAGTATCATAAAATAGAAAGTAGAGTCGAGCTGTGTGGAGAGGTTGTTGGGTACTGCCACCTGGTGACCACATTAGTAGGCCAAATGAACAAATCCACAAGGGCCGTGACGAGGATTCAAACCTGCGTCCAGGAGCATCCCATTACAGAGCAGGAGTTACATTAGTAAGCCATTTGGTAAATAAAAAGAGGGCATGGGTTGGTTATATTTTTTATGCCAAGGTGTGCATGGAAAGGTTTTGATTTTTATGATAATATACTTTCTCTACACACACTGTGCTGGATTTGAGTATTCCTGTCTTCCTGGCACCAGATTAATGCAGTTAGAATAATTTGAAAATTTCTCCATTGCATCAGTGTGATATGTCAATCTATCCTGGCTGTGTCAGATCCAAACCATAAGTCAGTAGGATATCGTCTTACAAAGCAGCTGTGTATACTGCTCGGAAGAAAGGTCTTTTCATATACTTTATATTCAAAGCCTGATATCTTTTTGTTTACCCTGTATTGCAGCTATTTGCATATTCAGACTTTACATGGTATTTTATTAAATCACTGCTAACAACAAATTTATGAACATAAATGGCAATTATTATATTGTATTACTGAATATTCCAACTCCTGGTGTCATTTACTTGCTACATTTTGTACTACTAATCTTGAATTATTGGGTGATCTGTAGTACATACTATATTGATGCTTCGATTATCACAAGTAGGCGACTGAAAAGTTCCAATCTGCTTAAATTTTTTGTTTAAGTATGGAAAGAAAAGGCAAAGGAATTGTTGCCTTTTTATTCTTTCTTAAGTAATGCGGTTGGTACACACTGCTGTTAATTGGGTGTGAGGAAATGGTCATCTGGTATATACTGTACCATATACTGCAAATGGTTGTGAAGGATATTTAGACATGAAGGACAAGGGGGTAAAAGAAACATGAAATTTCTTACTTCTAGTTGTTCTTCCTCTATTTTATAATGCCCTAAATCTACTCATCTTCTACTCCCATGAATAAATTCTGCATAGATCAGAAGTTTAAACTTGCCTTGAAATTATTTTGAAGGAATGATGATAATATTTAGTGAAACCAGTAAAATGTCAAAGAAATGTACAATTCAAGATTGTAGTCAGTTTAGACATTTTACCTAGATTAATTTAGACACTTTGAGGCTGGGAAGGAGGCTACCCATGTTTGCTCAAATGGCATCATTTGCATGTGATAAAGCAAACCGAATTTGTTATACCAAGAAATAAATCTGATCATCTTATTCATCACATTGAGATATACAGAAGATTGAAAGTGGCAACATTGAGAGGGCGCTGTTGTATTTATTTCAAAAGTTTACAATAAAAGTAGGCTGATGATACATACTTCCTCAGGCAATCAACCTATTCTTCTATTCATACTGTACCTTTGTGTACATATTGAATTAAAAGAAAAATGGAAAAGAATCTACAGCACAGTAGTGCAAACCCATCTCTATTGTACAAAAAGATAGAAATCTAAAAACGAAAAATTTTCAAGTACGTATTTGTTCTCTGAAAATTATAATAAAATGTAACCTAACCTAGGCTTAAGGTATGTATTCCTATATTAGGTAATGTGAGGCCTAGGTTACTGTAAGTTGTAAGTTAGGTAAGTAATTGATTTTTTTTTTTTTTTACTTTTGTCCTAAATATATATCTTATTTTTTTGTTAATATAGTATGTTGTTTAGTTAAGAAAATATATATATACTGTATATGAGTTTTCAGTATGTACATAAAGGTGTAGCATTAACATTGGGATGAGTTGAGGTGATGGACATAATGTAGACGAATGTTATGAGTAAACTAGCCATGAATGACAAAAGGGAATGATGATGATGTTCTAGGTTTAACTACGTGAAACAAAAGTTCCAAGTAGCACAGGCTATGGTGAGTCCATAGTGGACTTGATTTTAAAAGGGAAATATGTTACTGTACAGTACAGTACTACTGAAGTCGTATATTAGATAACTGTTGTGTAAAAAAAGACGTGTTGCACTTATTGTTGAAATGACTAGGTCATTTGTGTACTAAAGTTTAAGCTGAGCTCGCTACTCCAAAGCCTTAAATGGAATGCAAAATTTTTGAATAATTTTTAATTAATGTACAGTATTTAGCTGAATACAATATTAAAATTAGTTTTTCACATTTATAATGTTCAAAGATTTATATTTATTGATCCAGATATTTGTCTAAAGTATGTACCATACTGATAATTGTTCACACATTTCAATTAGTTTATAATGTAATATAGGTATATTTTATTTTTATATTTGTATGTGAAGATTTCTTGACCAGTGTTGCCCCCAAAATATTACCCTGGGAGAAGTAAACAGTTGTCTCCTCTCTCATCTTCTCCCACGTAAACACTTCCTTGTACGAGTGCAATTTTGTTTATGATCCCACTTCTTCCCAATTTATTTGCAGTAATCTTGCAAGGTAGTGGTAGCCATTTTACTTTGGGTCTGTGAACCCAAAATTAACTAACGCTCTTGTTAGCTGGAAATTTATATTTTATTGTGTTCTACTGTATATAAATTGTTTCCTTAATATCTTTATGTAATTATTGAAAAGTCAGTTTGTGTTATTGGTAACTAGATATCAGTTTATATGTATATATATTTGTTTATATTGAATAATGTTTATAACACAAACTATTCAGTTTATATTGTATATTTTTGGTATATCTGACTCGTACAGCCCCAGCCTCAAGGGCTAGATACAATGCTTCCTTGTGAGAAACTTCAACATTTAGTTATTAAAGACGATTTATGAGCATGTCATTTTTGTGCACTAGTAAAGGTGATTGGTTCTAAAACTCAGTTCGGTATGTTTTAACAATTTTGTTTTTTAAACCAATAGAAAGACAAAATTTATTGTTGCTATAAACTTATTTTTGATAAAATGTGACTGGCAAATTTGTCCTCATGTCGTGTAACAACATGATCATTTCAGATATAAAATGACAATTTTTGTTATTTAATATAGATAGAAAATTTGGGCATTTGTCTGTCTAGAAGTTATATTTTAACATTAAATTTTAACATAGCATTTATGTTAGTAATTATTAAATTGAATAGAAATGGATTGTAAATCAAATGTATCTTTTGATTGTTACCTGCAACTTGGGTGTTAATTATATCATAATGGTGATTAGCGGATGCGTGTGTCCGTATGCTGTTTACCTCATTGCCATGTGTTATTATGCACATACATCAAGTTAATCATATGTATCTTGCTCTTTTGTAATAATAAAGCTAAGGTCAGTTCTCATTTTCTCAATCTGCATATTATTGTTCTTTGATCCTTTCCAACTGCAAAAGTGAATGTTTGTTTGTTGTAAAATACAGAAGGGTTTGTCTTGAGATTATCTATCTTGAGATGATTTCGGGGCTTTGCGTCCCCGCGGCCCGGTCCTCGACCAGGCCTCCTTTTTGTTACACACCTCCCAGGAAGCAGCCCGTAGCAGCTGTCTAACTCCCAGGTACCAATTTACTACTAGGTAACATAGGCATCAGGGTGAAAGAAACATTTTGCCCATTTGTCTCCGCCTCCACCAGGGATCGAACCCGGAACCTCAGGACTACGAATCCGAAGCGCTGTCCACCCAGCTGTCAGGCGCCCTAAATCTAAATTCAGTATCTAAATATTACACAGTTGTGACCTGTGGAGAGGAAATTGTTCCAAAAATTAAGATTTTGTGCTCATAAATCTTCGCTATATAGCCACTAATCATGGGCAGCATTTTGGGCAAATCTTACAATTTGTGTGGGGGGGTTTTAATGATACATAAAAAAAATAATCAATATATAACTTATGAATTATAGTGAATTATAACAGTATTCTAGGTTGATACTTAATGTTATGGAGTGCACTTTATTTAATTAAAGCTTTAATGGTACAGTATATACTGTATATTATGAGAATTGTTACTATAGTATATTTTTAGCATTTTAAGAGATAAGATTAACAACCAATATACGAGTGACATATTTAACATAAAGGATAAATGGTAAGATCATGCTATGTGCTATTGTGTGTGTATATATATATATATAATTTGGAATAGCTACATAATATCAATTGGGTACTTTTTTCTCTTATTAAATTGATACATAATTTTATTACATTTGAGAGGCCACTCCATATTTAAGGCTTTATTCAAAGAAAGGGCAAGTATCAAGAGATGGCATTAAGGCAGTAGGATTATATGGTATATGGTGTATGGAAGGGATACGAGGACAGGATGGAAGCTAGAGTACAAGGATGGAGTGAAGGAACAGTTGTCCGAACACTTGAACAGTTGGAAATGAGTGTCGACGTACAAGAAGCATTGAGGTCTTCATTGCACTGATTAAGGATCCTTGATTTGCACATAATTTCTGCTTTGGTGGAGTCTGACTCTTGGAACATCAGTTAGTTGTTTGTTGTGTGTGTGTGTATGAGTTATATCGCATTCTTGTGTGTGTGTATGAGTTATATCGCATTCTTGTGTGTGTGTATGAGTTATATCGCATTATCTTTGGTTTCTTTCATTCACCGTCACTTTTAACACTCACCATTGTCCCTTTCTTTAATCTTAATATTTATTATACTAAATGTATTTTGATTTACTATTACATGGAACCTATCACTACTGCTGCTGTACCATAGATGGGTGCAAATACAGTATAGGCATTGGAAGTACTTGTACTATGTTACAAGCCACAAATTGTTTCTTCACATTTACAAAGGATGGACAGTAGCAAATACAGGATCTGGTAGTTTTTGTTTTCTGAATGTTCTTATAGCTGTGTATGATTTAAGTCTTATACTAATTTGTGGGCTGCAACAGCATATCATCTTGATTTGGTTGTTCAACATTGGTTGTCGTGTACCTATATATTATTCTAATAATTTTTTTGATAAGCTGTATCAAAATGTATGCATACGGCATTGCAATAATGATTACACATATCACGAAGGTAATTAAATTAGAACAAAATTGTTTAACCATTCTGGCAAGGAACATACACGGTTCACATATTTGATTTTCTGATGAACTGGGTGATTCGAAATGAGGTGGTGCAGGAGCTGTGTTTAGTAGAGGGAGTTCTGTTGTAGTCCCCGTCGTGTCCTCGGGAGGCAAAGAAATGGGTGGTGTTTCTGGCACAGAACATATAACAGTACCAAAGAGTTCATTCATATTGGGGCCAGAGTCAATGCATTCCAGATGGAGGGCCATAATTAGTGTGTATGTCTTACCCTCTAATAACTTCGTGATGGAGCAAGTTTCAGTGTACCTTGGTGTATTATAATCACCACATTTTTGGAGAGATTTGATATCTTCATTAAAAGACTCCAATCTGTGTATGTTATTGGTGCCTTTACACTTTATGTTACTCTCGTTTTGTGTGATTTCAACAAGAGTTAAATTGATCCAATTTCCTTGCTTTGTCTTCTGTGGAATTTCTTGACACTTATCTTTAATCTGCAATATACATGATAAATATTAATGATGTTGAGTGTTACGTATTAAGATACATTAACAATAATAATATAAATAATAATTATATATTTTGATTGCACCCAAAAGGAGAAAGTATATCCTTGAACCTTATTCCAAATATATCTCAACACAAAAATATTAGTATATTATAAAACAAAGTATGTTACCTATTTACAGTACAGTACTTTACTAGTTAATGTTCTTTTACTACAGTTAACTTTAGTTTATTAATGTTCACTTATGCTCTTATTTGCTTCATAAGTATTATTTTAGTTAATTAAAATTATTTATTTTCCCCATTCAGTGTTTTGTTCGACCTCAGAAATGAGTGTAATTACCTAAGTGTAATTACCTAAGTGTAATTACCTAAGTAATTCTACTCATTATGCTCAATTAGTATTAAGCTTGTCATTTAAGTTTATCATGCCCGAAACGCTTTGCGTAATAGTGGCTTTAGGCATTGTATGTACTAGCTCTACCTATAAGTCAACCAATCTTTGTAAAAATTTATTGTATGTATGTACCTTACCTAAATAAACATTTTATTATTTTTTTTTTTTTTAAGTGTAGTTACAGGATGAGAGCTATGCGCGTAGTGTCCCGTCTTCCCAGCACTCTATCATATAATACTTCGAAATTACTGACGGTTTTGGCCTCTACCACCTTCTCAAGGATTGGGGATGGGACGGTGGAAAGGAATGGTGTGCAACCACATGGATGGTTGGGGATTGAACGCCAACCTGCATGAAGCGAGACCGCCACTCTACCGTCCAGTCCAAGTGGCTGGGCTTAAGAAAAGGATATGGTATAGGACGAAGGTAAGGATGGTGCCCAACCACATGGGATAATCTGGAATCGAACCTGCAAGAAGCGGGGTCGTTCCTGTACCGACCTGTCCAAGTGGTTGGTGTGTGTGTGTGTGTGTGTGTGTGTGTGTGTGTGTGTGTGTGTGTATGTATGTATGTATGTATGTATGTATGTGAGAGTCTAGATACTTGCTATCAGACACAAAAGAGCCGATTTATAGTGACTTAAGAGTGAGAGATTGCATATATTAAAATTTAGATATTTAAACCTTTTAATGTTTGTATAGATTATCAAAATGTACATTCATAAAAATATATAATATGCATACTGCGAGATATTCCTGGGATACACGCATCACCCGTGTTTTAAAAATATCAATTATTTAGATAACTGTTTATGATGTTTTTGGTGAGGAGAAGGTAAGAGGAGGATGGCGTAAAGACAAGTGTTGAGGGGAGACGTACCCGCCCTTACGGGCTCACCATAGCCCGTGCTACTGGAACTTACTGTTCTCAATAGCTGAATCTAAAACAACAACAGCGACGTACCTGTGTGGTAATCCCAGCCATCATGAGTACGAGTGCCAGCTGCGACAGCTTCCTCGGCCCCACCGTCATTATATACTGCCTCGCTCACTACCGTGAATCAACTTGGCCAAGTCTGAAGACACAATGGCGTTTCAAGCGTAAGTTAGAAGTATATGTGAGTATGGCTAGGCATAATTAGCAGCTGTCTCGTGTGGACTTAATATGCTTACTACAGGTTCATCAATTCTTATGTTTTTCCTCTCGTCATGTAGTTTAGGATTAGAGTTCTCGCTGTATATTCACTTAAGAGTTATATTGTCGTAATGGCTTAGTACGTTCTCATGATAATTACCCTACCTTGCCTTTTCTGCTATCATTAACTCTGGTCGGTATTACAGCATACCGACAGGTTTGAAGGTTGATGCAGTGATGGCCGACTTGCTTCTTACAGGTCGGCGATCGATCCCCAATGGCCCAAATGGTTAGGCACCGTTTCTACTTCGTCCTTCTGTTCTGGCCTCTAGCCTCTTCCACGTGCTATATTATCATACTGGCTTGGCGTTTATTTCTCATAAGTGACTTAACAATAATTAAGGTAGTATGGTCTTAACCCGGCAGCCTTTAAGCCTGTAATTGGCGAGCAAATTGACATATAACTTCCAAAATTCTTTATTATTTGTGTTAAACTACTCAGGTGTGGGGTCACACAAGCCCACACCTGACACTGTCTACTGTACTCCTTGCAAATGTGTTATATAGTTTTGTTTTTATTAACAAGCTTAGGTATACACAGCAATGTGCTGCTACCTTATTCTAATTTGAAAGATTACATTGACGTTGAACCAACGTTAAATCGACGTCGAGTCAATGTTATCCACTTTGAATCTCCGTTATCCACGTTGAGTCAATGTTATCCACTTTGAATCTCCGTTATCGACGTTGAATCAACATCGATAACAGCCCAAAAAGGTAGCATAAACACACCTTGGAAAATTAACCCCAATATATCAGACGTCATAGGAGTCGTTGGTTGTCGCAATAGGAGCCAATCCTACATAATGAAGGGCATAGGGGTCGCCTCCCCCCCCCCCCGATCCTCTTTAGACACCATAAAAATCACTATATATATATATATATATATATATATATATATATATATATATATATATATATATATATATATATATATATATATATATATATATATATATGTCGTACCTAGTAGCCAGAACGCACTTCTCAGCCTACTATTCAAGGCCCGATTTGCCTAATAAGCCAAGTTTTCCTGAATTAATATATTTACTATATTTTTTTTCTTATGAAATGATAAAGCAACCCTTTTCTCTATGTATGAGGTCAATTTTTTTTTATTGGAGTTAAAATTAACGTAGATATATGACCAAACCTAACCAACCCTACCTAACCTAACCTAACCTATATTTATCGGTAAGGTTAGGTTAGGTAGCCAAAAAAAGCTAGGTTAGGTTAGGTTAGGTAGGTTAGGTAGACGAAAAAACATTAATTCATGAAAACTTGGCTTATTAGGCAAATCGGGCCTTGAATAGTAGGCTGAGAAGTGCGTTCTGGCTATTAGGTACGACATTATATATATATATATATATATATATATATATATATATATATATATATATATATATATATATATATATATATATATATATATATATATAACCAACACACCTGGTAAATGCGTTGTGTTATTCTAGATTGCTGAATATATTTAGCCAGAAATATATGGATTGTTTCAATGAAGCTTCTGATTAAGGGAAGATTTTATCACTGAGGTGGTGTTATGCTGCTGATAAGATTAAGATTATGAGAGGAAAACTTCCTGAATACATATAAAGAGGCTTAACAAAAATTTATTTTGGCACAATGGAAGTCACTAATTCCTTGTCAGAAAGTTATTCCCAATGAATAATACTTGATTGTATTTTAAGACGAAATAAATTGCTAAAACCATTTTCAAAATGGAATTTAGTATCAGCTGAAGGCTCTTGACCCTTACAGCGTATATTGCGACATAAAAATATATATACGATGAAAAGAAACTTGGCTAAAACTTATACAGTATATTCAAGTTTTTAAAATGCACTTTCTAAAAATGTTTAACACTCGGCAAGAGTTTTAAATGACCACAGAATGACAACACTCAAGGATGAGGCTATCTGTAAAGGTATCTTTACAGATAGATATCGATTTTTTTCCCAGTTTTTATATAGTATTTTATAAGTAAATGATGTCCACAAGTTCAGTGTCTTTTACCCAAACGCGAACAAAACATAACCAATTACTTTAACCGATTAATGTCTTTTATAATATTGTAACCACGGTCAAGTGTAATTAAATCTGGCACCGAAACTTAGGCCTACGTTTTGTACTATTGATATTCTAAAAGGCATGGTCAGAATGTAACCTAATCTCCCTTAGTTTGAACAAAGCAATCTTATACCTCATAGACGCGATCGTACACTTAATTTAGTGCGTATATGTGCAATACTAGGCCTAGAGAGAGTTGCATTATTGTCTTCTTCCTCGAACCTTTTAATTAATATACCAATAATACAAAATGTGAACTTTGTATGGGCGCCAGAGTCCACCTTGTGTCCATACACTCTGGTAACTGTCGACTCTCAGTCTTGGGAAAATAGGTTCCAAATCAAGACAAGTTAGAACCTAAAAACTTACCTAAAAATATGAAAAATTGTTAAAGATGAGTATGTTGGCTTGGTGTGTAGGTGGCTGGCTCCAGTTGCCTCAGCTTGGCATGCAATGGATGTAGGTGGGCTGCTGCCTTACAGTGGGCGTAGGTGGGCTGCTGCCTCGCAGTGGGCGTAGGTGGGCTGCTGCCTTACAGTGGGCGTAGGTGGGCTGCTGCCTCGCAGTGGGCGTAGGTGGGCTGCTGCCTCGCAGTGGGCGTAGGTGGGCTGCTGCCTCGCAGTGGGCGTAGGTGGGCTGCTGCCTTACAGTGGGCGTAAGTGGGCTGCTGCCTCGCAGTGGGCGTAGGTGGGCTGCTGCCTCCCAGTGGGCGTAGGTGGGCTGCTGCCTCCCAGTGGGCGTAGGTGAACAGGTGGATGTTGTTTCAGCCTGGCTCACAAGAGTCCCCACACTGCTCAGATCTCGCCACTATGAACTCGAGGTGATCTGTGTAACATGTGCAATTTACGACCGGAAATGAATGTGTGGGTTGCGAGTACATATAAGTAATGTAACAACGACTGCTCCTGCTCTGATCTGTGAACACGTGTAAGCTTAGTCTTCTGACGAGCAGCATTACAAGCACGAGTGCCAAGACAGACTGATTATATATCAGAAACACTTGTTTATCAAATGATAGTTGCCACCTATCGCTTAAACGGTGTAGACTTCAAATGGTGCATATTATCAGCACTTCTTGAGACTTTGGAGGCGGCTGATAGCGCAAACAACATTCAGATCCACATCTTTAACAACTGTGGCTCCAGGCATTCTGCTACCACACACACATATGATCTAAAATGGTTATTTTATAAGGCAGGGGCAAGGAAGATATTAATTAAGGCGATTTTTAAGAGGGTAGATCGTCAGAGAAGATAACAGCCGGATGAGAGACTGACTCACTCCCGAAAATGTAAATTTAATCAGCAAAGCACTACGTCAGTTCAGTTTAATCATTTACTATGCACCCCTTAACATCTCGTGTCGTGGACGGTGGTGGAGAGCGTTACAGACACATTATGGGTTCATGGACTGTACCCCCCATAATTCATTTAACTAAGCAAGTCTCATCTCATTTTTTTCTTGCAATGTATTTGTTATCATTGTATTAATTCTGCTAGAATTTACCTACTTAAAATTATCTGTTAGATTAAGGACCTGCCCGAAACGCTGCGCGTACTAGTGGCTTTACAAGATTGTAAATACTATGCTATGTAAGAACATAAGAACAAAGGCAACTGCAGAAGGCCCATTGACCCATACGAGGCAGCTCCTATCTATAACCACCCAATCCCACTCATATACTTGTCCAACCCGCGTTTGATCAACCTTGTGACGCTAGTTACACTGCGTCAGCAAATACACTTCGTCACTTTGTAGCTGAATGTAAAACAAAAATCCAAGAATTTAGATAACTATTATTAATGCTAAATTTGTGTTCATTTTTTTTTGCGAATGACATATTACATAGAATCTTAGTCACGTATCCCATGTTTGTTTACTGTAGCCTAGTGAGGGGACACACTAGTACGCTTGCTCGTCCTGCAAGTCTCCTGTAATTGCTTAACCCGTGATCATACGCCGCAAAATTAACTACACGACTTCCGTTAGACCCATTAAACTTCTTCACAAATTTGAGGCAAATGAAAACTAACTAGTTCACAAGAATTGTAGATTATTTAGCTTGAAGAACATCAGGAGGGTCAGTTCCAGAAGCAAATGTGTGTGATTAACATTCCTCCGTCGCCTCCAGGACGGGTATGGTGCTCCACAATACAATAATTAAACATGCTGGTGCAATTAAACGTCATAGTATTTACTCGAGGATATGGGTAGTACCCGTCGAGGAGAGCGTGGAACGGGATTTAGAAATGGATGGAGGACATCACAAGAAGGCTTTGAAATGTCCGCCGCGAGGACATGGAATGATTCTCACGAGTTGGAATAGGTACCGGGTGGACGTGTGGCAGAGTCCAAATGGATGGCATGGGGCCCAGGCGACAGGACCGGAACAAAACAAAGTGAACGTGGGACAAGACGCTAAACTGTTGTCATAAACCTTGTGTGTATGTTGAGAGATATAATAACTAGGAAAGGCTGATGATTGGATGAGGAAGAGAGGGCGTAAAGAAGGGAACAAGCGAGACGACGACATCCTGCACCATCCCCTGGGAAAGCAACACCCTGGCTACCAATATAACTTGGCACCGAATCCACATTAAGGATCCACACGCCGTTCCCGTGGGAGCCTCCACCACACCTGCTTAATGTTTGTATCTCCATGAAGGTCCACCACATGTCATCCCGGCTTCTCCCGCCACTCCCCGTCGCTCGCTGGGAATCGGCCCGTCTCTTAATCTTTAAATGACTGGTGCTTTGTCTCTAGGGAGATACACAGACAGGGAGGGACATTGACGGAGACACAGACAGGCTGACATAATCCTGGAGTATGCGGCCCCAGCATGGAGCCCGTACCTTGTCAAGCACAAGGCGAAGCTTGAAAAAGTTCAGAAATATGCCACTAGGCTAATCCCAGAACTAAGAGGCATGAGTTACGAGGAAAGGCTGCGGGAAATGCACCTCACGACACTAGAAGGCAGAAGAGTAAGGGGAGACATGATCACAACCTACAAAATTCTCAGAGGAATTGACAGGGTAGATAAAGATAAACTGTTTAACACAGGTGGTACGCGAACAAGGGGACACAGGTGGAAAGTGAGTACCCAAATGAGTCATAGGGATGTCAGAAAGAACTTTTTCAGTGTCAGAGTAGTTAACAAGTGGAATGCATTAGGCAGTGATGTGGTGGAGGCTGACTCCATACACAGTTCCAAATGTAGATATGATAGAGCCCAGTAGGCTCAGGAACCTGTACACCAGTTGATTGATAGTTGAGAGGCGGGACCAAAGAGCCAGAACTCAACCCCCGCAAGCACAACTAGGTGAGCAGGGAGGGAGGGGGCGAGCGGCGGTGATATAAAAGCGAGAGAAGAGAGGTAGGCATCACTCCACGGCATCACACACCACAAGTCGTCACACCACCGCCGCCCTCGCTCTCTCACCTCCACGCCAACCACCGTCTCTTGCGCCGTCGCTCTGCTACTGCAAGACGACAGCAACACCTCCCTCCTCCCCACACACGACAATGACCATCTGATAAGACCGTGTTGAGAGGAGCTCCCTCCCCCGAGCACCTTCCAGCAGAAGAGGACCACTAACTCTGGAGTAAGGTGGAGAGAAACCCAGAGGCTCTTACTCCAGCACCTGTGACCATCTGCACCAGCGGCCGGAAACCAGTTAGCTGGTCCTTGGCTTCCCTGGTCCCACCCTCCACATCGTAATGGTAAGCTTCTTCAATAAACTTGAGAAAAATCGTTCGAAATGCCTAACTTAGATTTGAGAGATTTAGGATATATTTCGAGTAAATCCATAACAAAAGCGCCTTTTAAAATGTACTTTTTATCTCGGCGAAGAAACATTTAAGTAAAGTTTAGACTTATGTTCTTTTCCCTGTAACCGGAGGAATGAGTTAGGCTTCCCAAACTAACGCCGCAGACGGGATTATGGGAACACCGGCTCCGTCTCCTGGTACTGTCAGGGACAGTCCTGTCCTCTGTAGCAAGTCTCTGGCATTACCTCTTGGTCGTCCTGTCACCTGTCAATCCTCACAGATATATCTTACCAGGTGTAAATTCTGACAGGTGTAAACCTTGAGAGGTGTAAATCATAAGAGCAGAAGCTTCGAGTTTTACCTGCTTCATCTGCTAAGGTTCTTAACACACCTTCAACTGCAAAGATTCTTAACACAGCTTCAGCTGCTAAGGTTCTTATTAACGCAGCTTCAACTTCTAAGGTTCTTAACACCACTTAAACTGTTAAGGTTCTTAACATAGCTTCAAATACCAAGGTTCTTAGTACTGTACTAAGATTCGTACTAACATTGACAAGAGGTCACTTGCTTTGACCTCTTGTACGCCTCACACATCTCCTCTTGACCACCTCCAAAGTATCAAAGACTCAGTTGGGTTCTCTCTCGTCTCACAGTGAAATAGTGTTCAAACTCCCGCCGAGGCCAGGGAAATATTGTTGTAACTCCCGCCGAAGCCAGGGAAATATTGTTGAAACTCCCGCCGAGGCCAGGGAAATATTGTTGAAACTCCCGCCGAGGCCAGGGAAATAGTGTTGTAACTCCCGCCGAGGCCAGGGAAATATTGTTGTAACTCCCGCCGAGGCCAGGGAAATAGTGTTCAAACTCCCGCCGAGGCCAGGGAAATAGTGTTCAAACTCCCGCCGAGGCCAGGGAAATGGAATGATGTACTCCACATAATGTTTTTTCTTTGATTGCTGGCGCCAGAGGCGGCTCTACTGTGCATCCCATACTCATCCTGTGAGCGGTAGTTTACTGTGCACCCCATACTTATCCTGTGAGTGATAGTTCACTGTGCACCCCATACTCATCCCGTGAGCAGTAGTTTACTGTGCACCCCATACTCATACCATGAGCGGTAGTTTACTGTGCACCCCATACTCATACCATGAGCGGTAGTTTACTGTGCACCCCATACTCATCCCGTGAGCGGTAGTTTACTGTGCACCCCATACTCATACCATGAGCGGTAGTTTACTGTGCACCCCATACTCATTCCGTGAGCGGTAGTTTACTGTGCACCCCATACTCATACCATGAGCGGTAGTTTACTGTGCACCCCATACTCATCCCGTGAGCGGTAGTTTACTGTGCACCCCATACTCATCCCGTGAGCGGTAGTTTACTGTGCACCCCATACTCATCCCGTGAGCGGTAGTTTACTGTGCACCCCATACTCATCCCGTGAGCGGTAGTGCCCAATAATTACAGAGTGGACAGAAGTTATTACTCAGACCTGGACGGAAATGTTTACATTAATAATAACATCTGATGTGCAGTTCTTATGAATATAATGCCAGCTACAAACAATTTGTTGTTCATTATTATATCTATGTATTTATAATAAATTATTACAGATTAATGGTAGGTCTTTCGCCAATCCATAAAATATTTTAGACATGGGGTATAGGAACACAGACGACAGAACACAAACAATTGCTCGCTCGGATACCCATGTGCGTGGAAAATAGGCTCACAAGTTCCGGAAGATGAGAGGAAATGTCAGCACTGTGGAGAAATGCCCGACACACCACTGGAACATTATCTAACACAATGCACAGTTACAGCCACAACAGGCCACTGGAACATTATCTAACACAGTGCACAGTTACAGCCACAACAGACCACTGGAACATTATCTAACACAGTGCACAGTTACACGCACAACAGACCACTGGAACATTATCTAACACAGTGCACAGTTACACACACAACAGACCACTGGAACATTATCTAGCACAGTGCACAGTTACACATACAACAGACCACTGGAACATTATCTAACACAGTGCACAGTTACACACACAACAGACCACTGGAACATTATCTAACACAGTGCACAGTTACACACACAACAGACCACTGGAACATTATTTAACACAGTGCACAGTTACACACACAACAGACCGCTGGAACATTACCTAACACAGTGCACAGTTACAAACCCATTAAGATTTCAACTTAGATTCAACAGGGCAGACGAAGTTGTTAAACACATGGGACAAAATCTTACTGAAGCGACCATACGAGTCAAATACTCATACTCCGCCCAAGTAAAACAGAAACAAGTAACACTTAGTGTACCAGGTAAAGGCTTAGGACCCGCACAGGAATATCCCTGCAAAAAAAAAAAAAAAAATTAAAAATAGGTTATTAGGCTTTACACTACACAGCCTAGTCCTGAGTCATATATATGTCATAAATCTACTGGAAGCGAAATATGGATACCGTGTAAGGATTTCAGATATTTTATCATTTGTAATAAGATGGTTTGTCATTTCATTCTCAATTTTATCACAGTTTCAGATATAATGTTATAGTGTGTGTCCTTGTCTTTGTGTACACTACACTTTACTCGGTCTAGATCCCTATACAAGCCGAACTGCCAGAGATACTTGTAGCCAAGTCTTATGTGAGCTGTGACAACGTCTCTTGGTGTGATGATGTTACTTGCCCCCATACACATGTTTTGTTTGACGCTGTTACGACGCCTTAGCTCTATCGACGGTAACAGATAACACTGATCTCAGCTCTACCGACGGTAACACACACACATGTTTTGTTTGACGCTGTTACGACGCCTTAGCTCTATCGACGGTAACAGATAACACTGATCTCAGCTCTACCGACGGTAACACACACACATGTTTTGTTTGACGCTGTTACGACGCCTTAGCTCTATCGACGGTAACAGATAACACTGATCTCAGCTCTACCGACGGTAACACACACACATGTTTTGTTTGACGCTGTTACGACGCCTTAGCTCTATCGACGGTAACAGATAACACTGATCTCAGCTCTACCGACGGTAACACACACACACATGTTTTGTTTGACGCTGTTACGACGCCTTAGCTCTATCGACGGTAACAGATAACACTGATCTCAGCTCTACCGACGGTAACACACACACATGTTTTGTTTGACGCTGTTACGACGCCTTAGCTCTATCGACGGTAACAGATAACACTGATCTCAGCTCTACCGACGGTAACACACACACATGTTTTGTTTGACGCTGTTACGACGCCTTAGCTCTATCGACGGTAACAGATAACACTGAGCTCAGCTCTACCGACGGTGACACACACACATACAACACCTCAGCAAGACCCTCAATCTAAATCATCCATATATTAAATACATCGAATTGCTTCAACATGGCAACGCAAGCATTGCTCGAACGTAAAAAAAACAAATAATCACTTATTCAAAATACAAAAAACAAGGTTTTTACCTCGGCAGTCTTGACTAGTGAAGGCTGCCTTACCTCGGCAGTCTTGACTAGTGAAGGCTGCCTTACCTCGGCAGTCTTGACTAGTGAAGGCTGCCTTACCTCGGCAGTCTTGACTAGTGAAGGCTGCCTTACCTCGGCAGTCTTGACTAGTGAAGGCTGCCTTACCTCGGCAGTCTTGACTAGTGAAGGCTGCCTTACCTCGGCAGTCTTGACTAGTGAAGGCTGCCTTACCTCGGCAGTCTTGACTAGTGAAGGCTGCCTTACCTCGGCAGTCTTGGCTAGTGAAGGCTGCCTTACCTCGGCAGTCTTGACTAGTGAAGGCTGCCTTACCTCGGCAGTCTTGACTAGTGAAGGCTGCCTTACCTCGGCAGTCTTGACTAGTGAAGGCTGCCTTACCTCGGCAGTCTTGACTAGTGAAGGCTGCCTTACTTTTGTTGATGAGGCTTCAGAGATGATGACACTTGACGAGTCGCGAGTCAGTCCTCGTTATTTATATGACTTTCCCTTCATGGTTATTGCCATGTTTGTAATGATTGTGTATGTGTATGTGTGTGTATTTACTGTTTGTGCCTGCAGGATCGAGCTGTTAGCTCCTGGACCCCGCCTTTCTAACCGTCGGTTGTCTAATGTATTGACTTTCGACCTGTTTTTGTTTTATCTATCATAAGCATACTTATATTTGCTTATGATAGATAAAAAACTTATATTTCTCTCTAACTCTCTAACATACACACACACATATCCCAGGATGCAGCCCTCAGCAACTGTCTAACTCCCAGGTACCTGCGTACTGCTAGGTGAACAGGTGCTTCAGGTGGAAGAAACGCTGCCCATTTGTAGACCAGGAATCGAACCCGGATCCTTAGGACTATTACTCCCAAGCGTTGTCCACTCAGCTGTGGTGTATTTACTATTTGTGCCTGCAAAATCGAGCTATTATCTCTTGGATCCCGCCTCTATCGTCGCTGATTGTCTAAACCATTAACTCTTGGCCTATTTCTCTATGATAACTAATTTTACAAATATGAATAGAGTTTTCCCTCTTCAACCTGTTCATGTAGTTCATTCCATTTCCCACTACTCTTACGCTAAATGGAAACTTTCTAATATTATGACTTACCTGAATCTCAACTTCCACCCATGACCTATTGTTCTGTTGTTATTCATTTTGAATATTTCCTCTATTTCAACGCTGTCAATCCCCCCTAAGTATTTTATATGTCTCACGTCTCTCCTCTCTCATTTTTTCTAGCGTCTTCAGGTTTAGTTTCTTCAGTCTGTTTCCATACCCCATCCTTCGCAATTTCTGGGACGAGCCTGGTCGCAAACTTCTGAACCTGTTCTAGTTTCCTTGTGTGTTTCTTCAGGTGGGGGGCTCCATGATGGGGCTGCATACTCTAAGACTGGTCTCATGTAGGTGGAGTAAAGCGTTTTAAATGCCTCCTTACTTACGTTT